TTCTGGCCCTTGTCACTGGACTAGTAGGCTTTGATTTTGTTGGAGGAAAACTGCTTCTCAGAATTAATAATGTGAATCCTCTCATTTCATGAAGCAGGAGCATCTGTGGGAGTAGGGCCGGAGGAGAGTGAGAAACCCGGTTTCGGTGTGTGGTTTTAGGCCTCTGTATTTCTAACCCAAGGTTTTGAAACGCATCATGATTCCTGTCTGTTAGACTGTAAGATTTATATAAGTAATCTTGGAAACAATGCTATCAAGACTGAATTGGACAGGCTTTTGGCTATTATGGCCCACTCCGAAGTGTGTGTATTGTTGCTAGAAACCTTCCTGGCTTTGCTTTTGTTGAGTTTGAAGATCCTTGGGATGCAGCTGATGTTCGAGAGCTAGACGGAAGAACATTGTGTGGCTGCCATGTAAGAGTGAATCTGTCAGATGGTGAAAAAAGATGCCAGTCTCATGGTCCACCTCCCTCTTGGGGTCGTTGCCCTTGAGATGATTATCATAGAAGAAGTCCTCCACCTCTCCGCAGATCTCCAAGAAGTAGCAGCTTCTCTCACGGCTGGAGCAGGTGCCTTTCTAGAGACAGGAGAAGAGAGAGATCTCTGTCTCGGGAGAGAAATCACAAGCTGTCCTGATCCTCCTCTAGGTCTCGTAGCCCGATCTAGGTCAAATGAAATAGAAGACCAGTTTGCAAGAGGAGTAGTGGTGTACAGGAAATAACTTCGTTTGACAGGAATATGTATAGGAAATTCAAGTTTTGTTTGAGACTTTGTAGGTTTAGTGCATTTTTAAGATGTTTAGCTGTTCGAATTTGTTTATTGTCTCTTGTAATAGTGACACATATGAAGATGTAATTCTCTGTGGTTTGAAATGGATCATATGAGGCATGTGATACCAAGAATTTATTACTTTACAATGTCCCCTTAAGCAAAATTGAATTTGTTTTGAACTTTAGTTTTGCATAGACATAATAAAACTCTAAATCTTGCCCAGCTAAAATGTGATGTTTTAATATCATGGAAGCATAACTGACAAAATTTGAACTCAGACTTTTAGTTTTGTTCATAGCTGGGATACAGGATGCAGTTGTAGTTGAATAAGCCATCTTTAAAAGCTGCTAAGAATGTAAGCCAACATATAAAAGTAAAAGCTGCACCATTTAACTAGATTAGAGGTTTTTAAAAAGGTCCAGCTAAGTCTTCAACTGTGCAGAAGTTGCCCAGTTGGCATAGAATCTGATAGGTTTTGAAGAGTTAGTTTTTTACTTCAGCTTTAGGTCATGAATTCCTCATGTGATTGCTGTATACGAGTAGATAGCTATTTGTAATATCATTTGTTGGAAATTTGAGACCATTCAAGATACCAGTGTCCTGCCAGTTTAAGGGTACATCGTAGAGCTGAACTTTGAGTTACTGTGCAAGATTTTTTTCATGCTGTCATTTGTAATATGTTTTGTGAAAATCCTTGGTATTAAACTTTTGGTTATAAATTGTCGTTTAAAAAAATAATGTGAATCAGAATAATCTCACTTTGTATATAAGAAAGTAACTGGCAGAAAAACATATTTCATAAAATGTATTGTCTCTATATTATTCTTGGGTTTTTGTACTCAGTGACTTACACAAGCTACTCAGTGAAAATTTATTGTGTGAATGTTTATAAGACCATTTCACTTGTCATTCAAGCATATTGATTACTTACTATGTTTCAAATGTGGGATTAGATAATGAGAGGCAACAACACAAGAAATAGGAGATAGGGTTCTTAATCAGAAGACTACATGAGATGGCACATACGTAAGGCAGCAAAATATTCTAGCAAAGATTAATGGAATATAGAATGATTATGTCAGCTTTCAGACAGGGAAATAATGAAGGGGCTGGATTTTAAGAAAGTTGGTGGATGTGCATTGACTGACAAAGAGTATAAGAGAGAAAAAGTTTCTGTTCTAAAAAGAAGGAATGGTGTCTTCTAGGGTGACAGTTGAGAATGACAGAGTTTTTCTGTGGAAAACAAATTGGCTTGAGTGGAAGTTTGTGTTGAGGATTGTAAGAAGTTAGATTGTAGAGCTAACAGGAGTATGAGAAATGTGGACAATTTGAGGGTTTAGCATGAAAGGGAGGCATTTCTGATTGCCCAGTATGTTAAAAGGTAGTCAGAATTAAAGAATTTAGTGTTCATAAAGCAAGTTTTATAGGTGCTAACTTATTGTAAGATGAACTGTGAAGCAGATTAAAGCACTGAGTGGTACTGAGTTTGTGCGTAAGTGCTGCTTGCAGAGTGAGTGGATGTACAAAAGTTTTACATGTTATGATTGACTACGTAAGGGAATATAAAAGAGTTTTTAAAAGTATAATAATGTTAACTGAAATTTGAGTAGGGCTGAATTACATAACATTTTTCTTTTGTTTCAGGTTGCTGCTTTTGATAAGAGGGCACCCACGACCCTGATGTGTTCTCTTTCAAGATAAATTGCTCTATTGACTTTGTTGATTAACTAAACAAATTCAGGTTAGTACATTTTTGTGGACATCACTTCCTTGTTCATATTTGAGAAGTAGATAATTTTGTGGTTAAAGCTACGTGGATATATACCAGTGAAGTAGCCAAGTCAGCCTAAATTCTACTGAATTGTGTACTAGTTAACAAACATTTTTTGACTACCTACTATGTACAATCTGCACTGCATAAAATGAAAAATATTTTACTTTTACTTCTTTTTAAATAGTTTGATACTTTAAGAGGCTGGATAAAATAAGTTGTGCTGTACATGGTACATGATACTTTTGATACTGTATATTTAAACCATATTTGGTATTGAAAATAAACAACACATCTTAAAAATTTTTAGCAACTGGCTTTTAAAGGTATCATTTTTGTCCAGATTTCAGTTATAGATTAACAAATTTGTCTATTTTTAGTGTTCAGTTCTGTGAGTTGTGATAAATTCATATCCATCACCGCAATCAAGATAGTTCTGTAGCCTCCCAAGTTCACTCATATTGCCCCTTTGTAGTCAACCCTTCCCTTCACTCCAACCTAACAACCTGATCTGTTTTCTGTCCCTATAATTTGCCTTTTCCCATATGTCATTTAAATGAAATCATCTAGTATGTAGTCTTTTAAGTCTGACTTCTTTCGCTTAGCATAATGCATTTGAGATTCATCCATGTTGTTGTGTATATCTGTAGTTTGTTCTTTTTTATTGCTGAGCAGTGTTCCAATGTGTGTGTGTGCATATATATTCACACACCACAGTTAGTTTATTCATTTACCAGCTGATGGACATTTGGGTTGTTTTCTAGTTTTTGATGATTATAAATAAAGCTGCTGAAGTCATACACTTTAAAAATAAAAAACATGATTCTATATTCTTTATTAGGAGAAGGTTACTTTTTGTTGTTGTTAAAGTGACCAGAATGATTTAACTGTTGACGTTTTGGGCTAGGGTTATGTTTCGTTTAAAAAATGTCATTAAAAAGTATCCAGAAAAAAATTTAATAGCTCTTGTAGGTAGGGAAAAAGACATTCAATTTATGGTCTTTTTGAATATAAGAAGGGAGTTGATGTAAAATTATTAGAAACAGGATATATTGGAACCTGTGCTGTTTCCTAGTTATGGAAAAATCACATAGCTCTTTCGAGTATAGTGGTAGATAGAAATGTACGGGTAGATTTACACAGCTTACCGTCATACAAGTAGCTCCAAAAGTCATCTGTTTAGAAAAGTCAAGTAAATTGTAAGAAGTTTCCTATCTTAAAAATTTACTTAAACTTTGAAGAGGGCAGAAATAGGGAATGAAAATGTCAATTTAAACTTTCTTGAATGATTATTTGGGATGAAAATGATGGAAACTGCCCTGCTTTGAGGAGTAGCTTGAAAAACTTTGAATATTTACAAGAGAAGTCTGATTCATTATTTGCTACAGAAATAAAAAGTTTTGAGTAACATAGACTCTGACTCAGTGTTGGCTTAAATGTCAACTCCTAAGCCTGGGCACTAAAAGAGGCACTGCAACTTTGAACTGTTCACTTGTTTACAAACATTTTTTGATAAACTATATGACTTTCATAGAACATTTCTGAAACAGACAAACATTTTAGGCAGAATCAGAGCATTTTAGAGATGTTTCTGAGAGAGAATAATTATTTGTTCCATAGGCAAATGCAAACACAGTGTCAAAAACAATGCTGTGCTTAGAAGTCATAAATTCTTCATAATTTGAGCTGTTTATCTCATGAATGTCATTTTACACTTAAATTATCTGGCATAACTTTTTAATACAGCATCAAAGACATCACAACTGAAAACCAAATACTAGGAAATCGATGAACAGTTGACATGTGGGAATATAGATTTCATTTGCCAGAGGGAATGGTATAAGTTTTTAGGGCAAGTGCCATATACTTCATAAAATTCATTATAGAGTTTCATGTGCATACATGTTTTTGAGTTCTCAAATAGATGATTGAGCTTCATGATGGCAGTGACCATTTTAGATTTTGCAGTTTTCTAAAGGAAGTATTCCTACAGCTGAATGATACTTGGTCCTGCATCTCTAGGCTACTTGGAGTTGATTAGAGCATCTTGTATCTGTATTCTCCAAGATTAACAGAGCATGAAGCTGGAATTGAGTTTTCTGAAAACATGAAAATGGAATCTCTCAGAAATGTAAAAGCTGGTACTAGAATTTTTTACATGAAGTGGATCTTGAGGAATATTTAGTTCAGTGTCTTTAGTTTTTTTGTAAATAGGCATATGGAGACCCAGAGAGGTGAGGTGATACACTTTTAGTCACACAGCTATGGAGACAATTATAGTGCATTGCTCTTTTTGTTCATCACCCTGTCTGCCTTCATCCTTGCTTGTTTCCTTTTAGGATTTAGAGCTTGGGGAACAAGTGCAAATGATTATACTCTGGCTACTGCTGTTGTTGTGAGTTTGGCGGATGTGGCCAGGAGTCTTATTATCTTCTGCCAAGATTATCTGACTCTAAATATCCTTAACACAACCTATTGATAAGACAAAGCTGAGTTTATTGTTTTTGCAGCAAGGGAGAACACTACCTTGACAGCTTTGGTAGCGTTCTGCAGGGGCAAAGGCATCAAAATTTGAGAATTTAAAGTTTTGTTAAGGTGGGCCTTTCAGTGGTGGTGGTGGGGGCTTGGTTAGGGTTGGATAACTATCATGATGTAACAGTTTAGGATTGGTGGAAACAGCAAGGCCCACCACAACTGTTGATGCTTCATATTGAAGAACAATCAAGTTATTTCTTTGGTCTGGAGTCTTCCTGGAATAGTTAAGTTACGCAAATGAAAACAACGACATAGTAAAGTCATGTTACTATATACAGAAAGCTGTCGGGGGACGTTTTGGTCCTCAGTGTCCAAGCTGTGTGTGGGTAGATATTTTGGTTCTCAGTCAGTATCTATGAAACTGTAGCAGACAGATTTGTTCACTTTTCATGCACAGTAAAATCTCAGGCTGTTCAGAGTTCTTGACAACAGCATGGTGTAGTGGAAAGAATACTAGTTTGGAAGTCAAAGTGCCTTGGTTCTAGTTTCTGCTCTGTTATTAACTGGCTTAAGAAAGGTACTTCTCCAGCTATTAGTTTTCCTCTCGGATAAAATGGGAGGCTTCAAAGAAAAGAAGAGGAATGGACCAAGTGATCTCTAAGTTCCTTTTTAGCTTGCATATTCTACAGTTCTGTATTGTTGAGTACCTACTATATACCATGTTGATAGTTTTGTTGGAGTGGCAAGGTAAAAAGGAAATAGAATGCTTTAAGTGCTGACCTGATAGGTTCCGATTTTGAAGGTAGCGTTTGTAGATTAATTTATATTTTGTTTACTTGGGTGAAGATCATTAATGAAATAATGAAGTAAAAACGGAATTAGCCCTGATCTAAGTGACTTACCATATTTCATTTTTTCAATGTGAATAGAGTGTTTGGAAGAGAAGCATTCTTTACTTCAGTTAATTCACTTAATGTTTGACATGTTTTGTTGCTGCAGTCTGTCGTGCTCACTTCAAAAAATACAATAGCCTTTTTAGAAGTGAGCCTGAGAGTGTAGCTCCTTGTTATAGATTGAACTGTGTCCCCCAAAACTATGTGTTGTAAATCCTGACCTCTATGTTTGATTGGAGCCCTGGTGGCGCAGTAGTTAAGAGCTGGGCTGCTAACCAAAAGGTCTCCAGTTTGAATCCACCAGCTGCTCCTTGGAAACCCTATGGGGCAGTTCGACTCTGTCCTGTAGGGTCACTAAGAGTCAGAATCTACTCCACAGCAGAGGGTTTGGTTTTGGTTTTATGCCTGTGATTATAATCCCATTTGGGAATGGGTTATCTTTGTTATGTTAATGAGGCAGGATTAGTGTAGGGTGTGTTTTGAGTCAGTCTCTTACAGGATATAAAAGGAGCAGATTAAACAAGCAGAGATGGGAGAAGATAGATGCCAAGCTACATGAAGATTGCCCAGGAGCAGAAGCTCAGAAGAGACAAGGACCTTCCCCTAGAGCCAGCACCCTGAGTTCGGATTTCTGGTGGCACAGTGGTTAAGAGCTTGGCTGCTAACTAAAAGGTCGACAGTTTGAATCCACCAGCTGTTCCTTGGAAACCCTATGGGACAGTTCTGCTCTGTCCTGTTGTGTCACTATGAGTCAGAATTGACTCAACGGCGATGAATTTGGTTTTTTTTTTTTGGAACTGTGAGAAATAAATTTCTGTTTGTTAAAGCCACCCACTTATGATGTTTCTGGTATTGTAGCACTAGATAACTAAGACACTCCCCCTTCATCGCCTACATTTCCCTATCATATCATCCTATAGTAAAGGAATATGAGAAAATTCTCAGAGAATGGTAATAATCCTGTGAGGTAGAGCATGATGCTAGAGTTCTAGGCTTACATGATTCTATCGAATTTTCTCATGTTTTGAATAGGTCACTGCAGCATTGTTTCAAGTCTTTCTTTGAATCATGTTGAAAATACATGATGATTATTTCATAGAGATATTGTAGCCACTCAAAAGGAAATTTTTCACTAATACTAAGACCATTTGTGGCTGTGTATGTGCTTGTTCTTTACAAGGTAAAATAAAAAATGTTTATATATGGGTGATACATATAAATACAGGTTGAACCAAAGTTTTTGGATCTAGATAAAAGTGACTGAAGTTAGGGGAGGACAGGGATTTTTGCTTCACTTCATACAGTAGAAATTCAAAAACATTTTTCATGGGGTGCTGGAAATCTCTCACCACTTGAATTTAAGGATCGTCTGGCATGGAGCCCTGGTGGCGCAGTGATTAAGAGTTTGGCTGCTCACCAGAAGGTCAGCAGTTTGAATCCACCAGCCAGTCCTTGGAAACCCCATTGGGCAGTTCTACTCTGTCCTATAGGGTCACTATGAGTTGGAATCAACTACAGCAATGGGTTTGGTTTTTTTTCCCTGCTTGTAGCCCTTCAATTACAGACAAATTCTACCAGACCTCAATTTTTATAGTGAGTATT